CAAGTCATTCTCAAATGTGAAAGGCTGCGACCTAAGAAGAAATGGGGCACGATCGATTCCAAGGACCATATCGACAGACAAAGCATGAGACTCCACCCAAGACATACTTAAGAGCATCACATTCATTATTTTTTTCATACATAATTTTTGTAGCTTTTAGAGTCAATTTCAACTTTACAGCGAAGAATATTGGACTCAATAAATAACTTTTCAGTTTCATTCAGAGTCAATTTTAACTTCACAGCGAAGGATAATGGACTCATCAAACGACTTTCAGTTCCATTCAGATTCAATTTCAACTTCACAGTGAAGGATATTGGACTTAACAAACAACTTTTCAGTTTCATTCAGAGTCAATTTCAACTAAGTATATTGGACTCAACAAACAACTTTCCAGTTTCATTTAAAGTCAATTTCAACTTCACAGCGAAGGATAATGGACTCGAAGTAATGCAACCCTTGGATTTCAACTTCACTACGAAGGATATCCAATTCAAAGCTCAACTTCACAACGAATGAGCCATCCATGATTTCAACTTCACGAAGAATGATATCGTGCCCACAAGCAACAATGCAACCCTTGGATTTTAACTTCACGATGAATGATATCTAATTCAAAGCTCAACTTCACAACGAATGAGCTATCCACGATTTCAACTTCACGATGAAGGATATCGTGTCCACAAGCAGCAATGCAACCCTTGGATTTCAACTTCACAACGAAGGATATCCAATTTAAAGCTCAAATTCACAACGAATGAGCCATCCACGATTTCAACTTCACGACGAAGGATATCGTGCCCATAAGCAGCAATGCAACCCTTGGATTTAACCTTTACGATGAAGGATATCCAATTCAAAGCTCAACTTCACAACGAATGAGTCATCCATGATTTTAACTTCACGACGAAGGATATCATGCCCACAAGCAGCAATGTAACCCTTGGATTTCAACTTCACAACGAAGGATATCCAATTCTAAGCTTAACTTCACAAAGAATGAGCCATCCACGATTTTAACTTCACGACGAAGGATATCGTGCCCACAAACAGCAATGAAACCCTTGGATTTCAACTTCATGACGAAGGATATCCAATTCAAAGCTCAACTTCACAACGAATGAGCCATCCACGATTTCAACTTCAAGACGAAGGATATCATGCCCAACAGATCGACTTAATTTCACAGCAAATGAGTCATCTGCAACAGGGATTTATTCCCCAGCCAAGTACAACATAACTCAAAGGCGATAAGGGTTATCTGTCAACAAACCCTCGAGTTGGATTACATTCAGCTCAAGGGCATATCAAATTTACAGTATAGCTCAAGGCGAGAAGGGATATCTGTCAACAAAAAATGTCGAGCTCAATACTATTCAGCTTGATGACATATCAACCACATGGTAGCAGCTAGGAACTACTTTCCTGTTGAAGTTTAAACCAAGGTCTTTAAGTCAAGAGGAAGATCTGGGGCAATCTCTCGTCTTAGTACAACATAGCTCAAGGCAAGAAGAGTTGTCTGTCAATGAAAACTTTCGATTTCAATTCCATTCAGCTTGATGGCGGATCAACCGCGTTGCATCAGCAAGGAACTACTTTTCGGTCAAATTTTCACACCCAAGTCTTTAAATCGAGAAGAAAACCAAGGTCGACCAAGATTGGTAACAAATAGACACTTTACTATTCACCTACGATTTTGACTTCACAATGAAGGATATTTATACCCAAAAGATTGACCCAACTTCACGACGAATGAGTCATCTCTGACACAACAATGAAAAACTTGCTTCATTCAGGTCAAATTTTAGCTTCACAACAAAGTATATTAGGCTAGAAGACAATCCAGGAGCTACTTCCCAATACTTTGAACTTGATTTCAACCTCACGAAGAAGGATATCGTGCCCAATGGATCGACTTAGTGTCACAGGAACCGTGTTATCACCCTTAGACGACCATGCCTCTTCATTACCTATGAGCAGTGTCGTCCCCCAAATCAAATCAGAAAAAAGAGAACCAGACAAAAGTTGATTGTCTTTTTGTCTTTGCCCTATCCTTGTTAACACAAAAATGTGCAAAGAGGGGCAGCTGTAGACACCTGTTTTTGTCCGGGTTTTAAAAAATATTTGTTTATTATTATTATTATTATTATTTAATATTTTTTTATTTTTCTCAGGCCCCATGCTCAACCCCACTATCTCCATCATTCTACAAAACCCCACCACTACCATATGCATACTCTGGAGATACCTTAACCGCCTGGCCGCATTAGTAGCGGATTGTACCCTATAATTAGAGGAGCCTTAATGACTGAAAGGGGGATCTCGTTTCCTTGGTTCACTTTCCTCACTCATTCCAAACTGCGAAAGGAGTCCTTTTGTTTTTGGTGTTGCAGAGAATGAACCCCAAGCCTTCTTTCCGTTATTTTATTCAATTGAAAGCTTTGTTTTACGAGAATAATGAATGAGGGAAAGCCTCTCATATCACCCCTTACGATTTCACTCCTCAGCTCGTTTCTCCTTTCCCCTTCACTATTTCAATACTAAAAAAAAATGGCGGAGGAGAAGAAAGCTCAGTCTTTTGGGTTTGGCCAAAGGTCAAGCCTTTTGTCAATGGCGGTGCCTCTGTATGCTTGCTACCTGTGTCATCCAACCCATCGATATGATCAAGGTGAGAATCCAACTGGGTCAGGGATCGGCGGGAACCGTCACCAGGAACATGCTTAAGGAGGAAAGTGTTTGTGCCTTTTACATGGGGCTATCAGCTGACTTCTTAGGCAAGCTACATACACTACTGCTTGACTAGGATCATTCAAGATGCTGACGAACAAAGCAACTGAAGCCAACAACATGAAGCCCTTACCTCTATACCAGAAGGCTTTGTGTGGTCTGACTGCTGGTGCTATTGGGGCCTGTGTCGGTAGTCCAGCTTTTTTGGCACTTATCCGTATGCAGGCTGATGCCACTTTACCTGTTGCTCTACACCCAAATTACTCCAATGCATTCCATGCTCTCTATCGTATTGTTTCAGATGAAGGGGTTTTAGCACTTTGGTAAGGTACGGGCCCTACGGTAGTCAGAGCCATGTCATTGAATATGGGAATGCTTGCCTCATACAATCAAAGTGTTAATAATATAGTAAGATTTTTTATTTATTTTTTTATTTCAAAGTTTAACTTTTTTTATTTCATTTTTTTATCTTTTTATTTTTTTAAAATATTTACTCAATGGTATTTATCTTTATTTATTTATTTTTAATATTTTTTCTTTTTTATATTTCGCAATTTAATGCTTCTTTTGGCTTTTTAAGGTTAATTCTAACCAATCAAAGGTAAGTAATTTGAATCGAGTTTTAAATTTTAATTTAAATTTCAATTTTACGCAATTATGACAACCAACAAATTAAATGGTACCGAAAGGGCAATACAAGGGTGTTAATTATTCCTTGACTGTAACCGACTCCCGAACCCGACACATTTATGATAAAACACAGATCAAGTAAGATGGTGTCCGATCCACCTAAATGTTTTTAAAATAATCGGTGACGATTCTAATCCACTTATTTAAGTCGAAGCTCAATTCCGGGTCCAACCGAAAGATGGTCGCGACAACTTGCACCATCAATATTTAATTTATCCCTTCCTGCCAATGGAGGAAGCCAATTCACAAGCCTGGTTGTGCTAGGCGCACTAGGCATTGTCCGGTTTAGCTGGAGCTGCTTCTGGATTACTCGTACCACAACACTCCAAAAACCGTGTTCATTGTAATTATAGTCGTCAGGTTCAAAGACTCTTCGACATCGCTCCTTCCAAAGCTTCCAAATGATGCAAACAAACTGGATGAGCTCTTCTCGAGAGTTTTTAGAGGCATCGAGAATATCCTTAAGCCAAAGTTCTTATCTTTTTTTTAAAAAAAAATACGAACATAACACTTCATATTACTTAACGATTTATTTTAAAGATAAACAATTAAAAGTATAATAAAAAATACTAAGCATTTATTTTCAATAAAAAAATTAAACATCAAAAATTAATTTAAAATATAATTTATACACTTATTTTTATATTAATCTTCTATAAATGTACTGTTTTATATTAATCCTTCTATAAATGTATTGTTTGGGGAGTCTAAAAGAGCTGGGTGGCCGTCAGCTATCTTTTAACAACAACAAAACTCACCATCCAATCTTATTTCACCACGTGGGACCCTAATGGACGATGCCCAGAGATTCCTTAGGAGGGTCAAAAGGTTCGTTATATTTTTGGACCGGAAAATGACGTCATGTATAGACGTTACAGGGTGACACAAATTGAAATGGGTAAATATATAATTTCATACTTGAAGTTTCTATGATTTCAATTCAGTACGTGAATTTGACATTTTAGTTTAAATCGGTATGTTAATTTGGCCTCTTATTTAAATTAAATATTTTGTCTAACGTAGATTATTTCAATTTTAAATTCGTTCGAGTTGGGTGGAGTTAGACATATTCAAATAATTTTGAAATTTTATAGAATATTTTTTTTTTAATATGACAATTAATTGATCAAACAATCATAAATATATATCAAGTTTAACCAAGAAGCCAAGGTCATGAACAAATATGAAATCAATAAGCAAAAATTCAAGTATCTAGTTTGAAAAAAAAAATAACAAATTATAAATACCAAGTTGAAACGAGAAGCAATGTTCATGTACCAATTTAAATAAAAAAATCCAAGCTTAGATACTTATTGGATCAGAAAACTTCAGGGACAAAATTGAACTTTGAAGCTAAGTTCAAGTAGTAAAATATCTATTTACCTATTTAAGTAATAAGTAGCGTAGGTTAAGGGGGGTGCGTGCGATACCCCCAACTTGTAGCGTTTTCCTTTTGCTCACTGATGCTGCTTTAAGTACCAACACTCGGACGTTAACGTTTGACTAGCGATTCTTAGAAATTAAAAAAGAAAAAGATACATATTCTTTCCTTTTTTTTCCTCACTGATTTATGAAGTATTTTTAATTTGTGGGTTGTTTTTTTATTCTTTGTTTGCTTTCAATGAGTAGTTGAAGGTTCCGTTTTCACTGAAGCAACAGAGTTTTTGTTCTTAAAGGACTTTGATATCTGGAAGTTCTGTCGATCCATAAGGTTAGTAAATTTTGTCATTTCTTTTGGATTAATTAAGTTATTTGATGGTTTTTTTTTTGGTTCTGTTCCAGTATGAACTCTTCGGCAGCCGAACTTCCGGCAAGGATGGCGATATATGAGCAATTCCACCACATAAGCAGGTCTGGAGACGCCTTCGACGACGGAAACGATTCCACAATTGTTCCTTCAGATGTCAGGCAAAAGAACAAGGTGAAGTTGCATTATTGTTCTATTTCTTAGTTGGTTAAGCATTTGCTTCAGTTTCCGGCTGTAATTAAATCACAGGCTGAATATATATCTCGTAACCAAGTTGAACCTTCCATAAGTGATCAAGAAACAAACAAGCCCTCCAATATGGTATCGAATTCGCCGCCTCCTACTTGTTTTGATTGTATGCATCTTTTGTTTTAAGAAACATGACGTGTGCAGATACAGAGACGACTTGCGCAGAATCGAGAAGCTGCTCGTAAATGCCGGTTGCGGAAAAAGGTAGATGGAAAGTACGTTCCATGTTAAAGTATTTGCTTATGGTATACAAAGTAGTTACAGAACCGGTTTCATCTGATAGGCCTATGTTCAACAACTAGAATCAAGTCATTTGAAACTAGCTCAGTTGGAGCAAGAGCTTGAAAGAGCAAGGCAGCAGGTATGTTTTCTTCATTTATCACAACATGGCATTACGTATTTGGATATGTAACCGATTCGTTAATGCCTTAATGCAGGGTGTATACTTAAGCGGTGCACCGGATGCTGGTTCTTTTGGATTGCCTACAACTGTAAACTCAGGTTTGTGATCTAAGTGGTAAACAAATTATAAGTAAAGGTTTCCCTCCCTATGGATATTACATCTTGTTCATGTAAATGTCCAGTGTATGCATCTTGCTTTCTTGTTCAGAATAGTTTCATGTGAAATTGCCAGGGATTACTGCATTTGAGATGGAATACGCGCATTGGATCGAAGAGCAAAATAGACAGATTTGTGAACTTAGAACTATTCTCCAGGCGCATATTACCGATATAAACCTCCGTATACTGGTAGAGAGTGGCTTGAACCACTACTGCAATCTGTTCCGCATGAAAGCGGATGCTGCAAAGGCAGATGTCTTCTATCTGATCTCAGGCATTTGGAGAACTTCAGCCGAGCGTTTTTTCCACTGGATCGGAGGATTCCGCCCGTCAGAGATCTTAAATGTAATGCTCTGTCTCAATTAACTCTACCCTACATAGAATAATGGAGATCTGTCCATGTAGGAAATATTTTCTTGTGAGCAGCATGTCCAAATCCTATTGAACTACCTACTGAGGTCAATAAATTCTGTTTGTTCAGGTTGTGGTGCCACAGATTGAGCCATTGACTGATCAACAACATCTGGAGGTCTGTAATCTTAGACAGTCATCTCTTCAAACCGAAGATGCTCTTTCCCAAGGAGTAGATAAACTGCAGCAGAGTTTGGCCGAGGGTGTAGCGTCAGATTTGTGTTCGGGAAACTTCAGAGCTCAGATGGTTGATGTAATAGATAAGTTGGAAGCCCTAGAGAACTTTGTAAGCCAGGTATGACATTACTTGTTCATCCTCAATTTTCATATAAAGGCCAGGTTATGTATTACCCTAAGGTGCACACTTTGTTTACCGGATGTTTGCATATTTTGTTTCCAAAAACAACAGGCCGACCACCTTCGCCAGCAGACGTTGCAACAGATGGTTCGAATCCTGACAACCCGTCAAGCGGCTCGAGGTTTTCTTGCCATGGGGGAATACTTTCATCGTCTACGTGCTCTGAGTTCGCTTTGGGGTGCTCGTCCACGAGAATCTGCCTAGCTTAGAGAACCATCAGTATGTGAGGCTGTATTCACCACAAATTTGTTCCTCAACTGGTAAGGAAATGGATTTTCGGAGGTCTCGTTTTGTCAAATATGAGCTACAATATGTAATGTATGCACGCATGTATGCATGCTTGTAGTTGTTCAAAGAAACTTCTTCGGAATAAAACTTGTATATATGAATCTTTATGATGTATTAGTATAACAAGAACTTTAGGTGGTTAAAGTTAGGTTTATCGGTGTTGTATAGCTTACCATATTCTTTGGATGCTGGAGGATTATCTTACCAAGCTTGTGATTATCTTACCTTTGTAGTAAATTGAAAAAAAAGAGTCAAATTCAACACTTAATTATATAAGAAAATTACAAGTATAAAATTGTGCCAAAAAATCAAATTTATCAATCCATTTAAACTAAAATAGATAAGTGTAAATATCTAATTAAATAAAAAAAATCCATATGCTAAATTAAAGATTGAAATCAAATTCAAATATTAAAATATGTATTAACTCTTATTTTTTTAATTAATCACTAATATTCGATCTATTGATTGATTAATTTAGATCAAGTACTACAAAGGCAAGGACGACCATTCCAACTCATTTTACTCCATTGACAAAAGCTAGGATTAGAACCTCTAACTTTACCTAAAGAATTCAATGTTTCATCACACTAGATCAATTAATTGATTGTTAATATTAACTATTGTTTTAACTATAATTAAAAAGTAAAAGAATATTAGTAACTGATCAACTGTCGGATTGACCGTTCCATGGCGCCCACAAAATTCCCGGTAAAAGAACTAAAATATTTTAAAGTAAACTACATATTTAATACATAAACTATCAATTTTAGTACTTAAACTTTTAATTTTTTTTATAATCTCACCTAACATTTAGTTTTTATTTCATTTTAGTAACCTTTGTTAAAACGGATCAAAATTGATAATTTAAGTCTTGATGCTCGAACTTAGGACTACAAAAGATAACAATAATTTATTTACTTTACTATTGAGAACATTTGATTCGTACCATATATATTTTATATATATAATAATTTTAGGGGTAAAAAGAAGAAGATGAAATTCAATTTTTTATAATTTCAGTGGGATTTAAATTTTCGTTATCAAACCTCTTCACGTCTTTCTCGTTTCTTTTTTTTCAGTCGGATTTAAATTCTTAATTTTCTAAAATCTAATCTTCACTCTTTTATTTTAATTCTAATAAGTCAAGCTCATAACCAATCTCAAAGGGAGGAAAAAGGAAATGAGCAATTTGAGGACAGTTTGTAGACCGCACAAGGTCATTTCTTCGTTGGTGTGTCACACCTCCAATTTAGGGGTTAAATTTTAATAATTTTAAGTATCGAATTAAAGTCGTAACAAGGGAGAAATTGATGACCAAATCGTAAATTTTTAAAAGTTGTAGCTTGGTTTTAAAACTTGTGGGAAACTCAGGGACTTAAACCCAAATTATCCTATTTTTAATTGTCACTGAATAATAACACCATTTGGATTGAACCAATTTCCCCCAAATTGGTTATACCCTAATTATCGTCGCCTCTGCCTTAATCCGTCGCCATCCGACCGCCCCAACTCGTGACGCCACCGTTATTTGGTTCATCGTTGACCGACGAACAAAACCCCCAGATTCCTCACTGAAAGCGGCCACCAATCGTCGCAAATAAGTCGTCAAGTCTCGTTGTTTCTAAACATTCGACACTCTGGTTTTCCCTCGATTTCAAACGCTCGAGATATCGCCTCGCCTCAACGCACCCATCAGCCTCGTCGTCGTTGTGCGCACCAAACCCGTCCAGTACGACAAGTCGTCGTAGCCTCCATCGCTGTTCATCTTCGGGGTAAGTTCCTGATTTAATTTCAGAAACGTTGGCATATTATTGCTGCAAATTGGGATTTATTTTTATTAAATTGAAGTGTGTAGAAGATTGGGGAAGAATCGACTGGTCGAAACAGGCCCCGAGTCGCCGCACGCGCCTGCTCCAACGCGTGGGCATCTTCTGTCATCCAGGGGAGTTTTGATGAACAATCGGCCGAGCTGTCTGACTGACCCGACTGAGCCGACCAAGCCACCGTACCGAGCCGATTGAGCCGTTAAACCGAGTCGAGTTGACCGAGATGATCATTGACCGTCCGTTGACTTTTTTCGGGAACACCTATCCTGATGTTTTTCGACATCCTGAGTCTGTTTTTTGAGGTCCACTTTGCCAAATTCAAACCCGGTAAGTTGTTTTCACCGATTAATCTCCCGATTCAATCCATTTTTCGCAATTAAGTTTCATTTTTGACGTAATTTCTATTTGTATGCATCCAAGATATTATTGGACGTTGGATTAAAGTTCGAAAATGATCGAATGGAGTTTAAATGTTCGATCGATAGAGCACAAAAATCGAGGTAATATATTACTACCTTATGCATGCTTTATGGAACATGTTGGAATTGGTAAATACATGGATGAATATGTTTGGTCTCATCTATATAGTAAATTATTTCTAAACTCTATCCAAATACGGTAAAAAGTCAGTAACCGAATATGACTCAGATGACTCGTATAAGAAATTGGTAGACCAATCGAAAATAAAACTAAGTTCTGTAAATTAATAAATCTTAGGACTCGTAAATTCTGATTTATTTCGTTAAAGGTTAAATGTCAGAAATACTTGGATACGAAACTAAGAAAATACTGGTATATTGTAAAAGATAAGGTTTTTCCCAGAAAGTGAAAATAAACATTGTTAATCGCTCATGATCTTGAGATGGTAAAGACTTAAAATTTATAATTCCTGAGCGAACACCCAAAGGCTAAATTACCGAATGTACCTTACACATATGAATTATTACATATGACAAAGTTGAACTGAATGGAAGTACTAACATATCCGAATTGTTAAAACGATAGGATTACTTTGAAACTCCGAAGTAACCCGGATAAACTTGAATGCTAATTGATTTAAGTACCCCCAATGACCTTGAATTAAGCGAATAACTTGGATAAGTATGAAAACACTGATGATCTTATATGTTGTACTGTCCATAAGGGTTATGAACCACGCATCAAGCACGTCGTCATTTCCTGATACAGTTGCAATGCATAAATGAAATAAAGATCATTGGAATATTTGTTCGTCTCCCTAAGATCCATTCAATAATGGTTCTAAATACCTTTCTGATTTCATAGTGCATCTGAAAAATATTTGAATACTATATGAACCTGATAAATCACATTCTGAATAACTAATGAATCTGTTAGCTATCAAACCCTTTTATGAGGATCTCGTCTTTGAATTTAATCAGTTTACAGAAGTTTCATGGCTCCCTATATGATAATTACCAATCACCTCTGAATAATATATGGAATCTCTAGTGTGTTCCCTGATCACGCGAATGTTTTCTCTGATCTTAAAAGTATGTGTATGTTATCTGAAATACAGTCTGATTTCTTATTTCCGTTCTGATCGCTGCTCTGATTTATGATATCTCTATTTACTGACTGAATTTATTTTATACGGGGTACTCTGGGAATCTGGTATGACTAAAGACTCTGGCAGGTTCAGACACTGCTGGTAATTCCTTGTATAGGTTTAGCATCGACTGGTAATTTCTTATCGACCTAAGGCGACTCTTGGGTGGGCTCCTGGGCCTAATGGTCCTAGTGGTAAGACCTTAGGGACCCTAAGGCACTCCCTTAGGGTGGCTCCTCTTTTGTGTGCATTGGGTAAGTCCTTATGGGTCTGGGGACACTCCTCTCAGGTAGGCACTTACACTTCGGCTAGGGTAAGACCTTATGGACCCAAGGTGCTCCCTTAGGTTGACACCTACGCCCTTTGGGCCTAAGGTAAGTCCTTATTGATGCAGTTCTGGGGAACTGCATATTGGTGTTCGGTTTGAGGGTTTTATTATAGTTTTTTTTAAAAGATACGTTTTAAACTGCTTCTATTTTAAAAAGGATCGATACATTTTCATTGGTTTTGTGGAACACACTAGACAACATATTCTGATCTCTTGAACCCAGTCATCCGAAACATTTCCTCTGAACTGAAAGTTTCTTGTCTTTTACTACCTATAATGTCAGTGGGACCTCAGCTCTGCATGTCCTTCAACATCACTTGGTAGTTCTGTATTACTAGGTTTTCCAAAGCTCACTTTGTTACTCACTATTTCAGGTTAAAAGAATAGTGCGGCTATCGACATCAGTATTGGAGTTCCACCGGCGTTACTTGTACATGTGTTTAGGGGGCATGTAGGTGGTATTTTGTTTTTATATCTGAATCTAAAACGTGTTTGATTTTAATTTTGTTTGTAATATATGAACGATTTTCCGAACTTGTATTTTAATTATAAATTGTTTTAGGATTTACATATTTTAAAAGAAATTTTAAATTTTTCTGGGATTTTTAATGTGGGTCGCTCAGGTGGCCCTAATGTGGCACCTCGAATCGGATCGAGTAACCCGCATCAGTCCGAGAGTGTTACATGGTGTGTAGTAGCAGGCTCCTCCACCTCCATCAAGCTCGACTCAGGACTAGGGTTTCCTTTCGAAACCCTGATTTCAGGTCATCTTCAGTTTCTCCGTGGTTCCGTTTGTCCAGAAATTTGAGCAGGAAGGAACCTGGTTTCGGATCAATCAAAGGAGAGCTGCCGTTAGGGCGTCGAATTGGTCCGACCAAAAATCTCCTTATATGAAACTCTTGGTATTTGATTTAGCCCGTAAGCGTTATTAGCTCGATGAGAAAAGCGCCGTTCTTTTATAGTTTGGTTTCCAGAAAACGAAATACTTGAACAGTTCCCCCCTTAAGCCTTTTTTTCCTGGGTGCTAATTGATAAATTATATAGTAATTATTTGGAACTTTGATTTCTAAAAAACAGAGTTGGAACGGGATGCTGATGAAGAACAGATAAAAACTGCATACAGACGTCTGGCCAAATGTTATCACCCTGACGGTATGTGTCATTTTTTAAGTTTCGTAAGCGAAATATGTGTATGGTTACTATATTAGGTCAATCGCTATTAGGTGTTAGCTCTGTGTGGTAATGGCAAATTAGATTGCAACATTTTTATCTGGTAATGGGAGATTTTATTCTTAAGAATTACTCGGGATATCTTCCGTGGTTATGATGTTTTTTATGCGGAACTCATTAAATGAAATCAGTGGTTATATAAAGGAAATTTTGTTTTTCTTAGAATTTTGGAATCAAGTAACTGTGTTTGTAAGGTAAGT